TTCACCTCGCTCACCTTTGTTTAGATTGGACTGTTTTCTCATTTTATGGAACTAGCCAAAAAAATAACACTTATTGGCTATGAAGTAATGGTGATAACTAAATGAGATTAGGAAGTTTGGAAAGAAGTATGTATATGAATCACATTTTGAGAGCTGGAAGAGTAGACCATGGAGATGATTATTTTGCAGATTCGGAAATCAAGGCTCAGAGCAGTTGAAGGGACTAAATTACTAGTTAGGTGGCGGAGCCAGGATTGGTGAGCTAATCCGTGGATTCCAGTCCAGATTAAAACAGTTTTTTTTTTTTTTTCAGATTTAAAAAAATTTATCATGTTCACATTGTTTGATTCTAAAGCATCCTCGTGCCAATTATAAATGGTTTTTGGATTTTAGTAATATCCCTTCCAATGATGAAGTTTGAATTGACTACTTTTATACATGAATACTTTTATACATAAAAGTATATATGATATGAAACTAGGTGAGCTTTTATTTAAAAGTTTAAGTCAGTATGCCACCTGATTAGTGGAAGTGCTGATATCACCATGGAAAGAGAGAAATTGTCATCTAGATTTAAAATATTAGGTATGTGTTCTATCATTTTTATGCTAAAAATTAATTCCTTAAAAGATTTGCAGAATTCAAAGGTACTTACATTTTCAAAGTAAAAAAAATTTTTTTTTCCAGAAAATCTGGGGGGTTTGTTATGTTAAAATGGATTTTAGTACCCTTAAAAAAAGCAGTAGTAGAATTACATGGTAATTATGAAAATGTAATTCCTATTATAGTTGTAATATAGAAAGACAGGATTTGAGGGCCAGCTCATGATATGGTGGTTAAAGCAGGTAAATCCTACCTGGCCCTGAGAAGCAAGTTTGGGCAGGTGTGTGGGAGTACCCAAAATCCCAAAAGGAGGGAGAAATGGAGAAGAGATTGCAGCATGACCATGCCCTACTGGGGATGCTTTCTTACTTTCTTTCGCCATGTCTCCATCTGAAGAGAACACATGCTCTCGGACAAAAATAAAATACAAGAGAGGATTTGTATCTCAGCTACTTAGGATGATCTTGGGTGAGCAATTTAACCACTGTGTACTTAGGTTTCCCTCACCTATAAAGTGAAAGTATTGAAAGTACCTATTTCAGGTAGGCAGGTGGTGTGGTGGTTAAAGGTGTTGGACTTTCACATGGCTGACCATGGTCCTAGCACCTGGCACCTTGCTTTCTCACTGCCCCCCTCCTCACAGTGTCCCTCTCTAGTCAAATTAAACTAACTAACCAACCAACTAACTAACTAACTAACTAAATAAATAAAGTTAAAATAATTCTTAAAAAGAATTATGCTATTTCATAGCACAGGATGAGGATTAACTCTGCCTCACACACTGTAAGAGCACAACAGATTAGGTATTATTCTTCATGATTCATTACGTTTAAGGAGACACCTAATATATACCTCATTCAGTTACCCATTTGTTTCCTGGCTTTACTGAATTCACTTTATGGCTACCCAAAATTCCTAGATAAATACTTGATCGGTTACAAGTCTGCCTTAAAGAACACTGCAAATGATGCCCTCATGTTTTGTTTTGTTCTCCTTTGTCTGCTTACCTTGGACCTTTAATTAGGTCTGCATATCTAGTTAGATTGAATATGTCAGTTTTTCTGAATGTCATTGAGACCCTTATTGTACTTTATGGTAGAACCAAAATGTTAATAACTGATTGGCAGGTTATCTCATGAAAATACAGTGAGTGGTAGAAGCTATTGATTACCTTAGATGAGGAAGTCAAGAATTTATAAGGTCTTGTTGATTACAACTCTTTTCTGCCAATGGAGTCAAGAAAAAAGTTGAGTACTATTTCTTATTAAATGAATGTTTTGATGACTTCATTAAACTGTGAGATTTTAGTGATAAAACTTGTATAACTCCAGTTTTATAATATGCAGTTCTCTTTCATTTGCTGTAATTCAATGTCATGACATGTGGTCTAACAGATATTTTACATTTTGTCATCAGATATCTCAGAGTCCTTGTTAATGATGCATCACCTAAGGAATGGTGGATTTCTTCTTTGTTCTGCCTTCTGAGGTTCTTCTTCTGCCTTTATAGCAACTCCCCTTCATTTATAGTCCTCTTAACTCTGATTCTCATACATCTTTGGTCTTTTCTTCTCATAATACCTTTGCCCTCTATCACAACATGTAAGTTCTTATCTGTCATGCAAGAGCTTACCTTTTTTTTTTTTTAGTGACTTTTTAAACCTTAGTTTCAACTATTTAAAAAATACTTCTTACTTAATACCTTTGAATTGTCTATTTTTAGAATTTCATTGTAGTGAGTCCATTTTACAGGTAAGGGGGTAAAGTTAGAAATAGGTATAGCTCAAAAGGCTCTTTATTATGCAAATATGGAGTCATCTTACTGTTTTTGTATCTGAGGCAGGCAAGCTATTGATGGTACTTCACATGGTATATGAGTTTATGAGTCAACTCTTCAGTCCAGTGTGATGCTAGCAGGGCTAAGAGAGTACATGGAGCCATCAGAAGTTTCCAGCATGTTTTTTTCCCACTGATACAGAATTGTAATGTTTGAAAAGTGACCAGCTCCTAATCTTTTGATTACCTATTATGATAAGGAGTATGAAATTATCAGTTTATTCACACTTATTGGATTCATGACATGCTTTTAGGAATTTCGTAAAACCTAGATATGCTGGTCCTTTCTTCAGGTCTATTATATACCCTAAGTATGTGAATAAATTATTTAGTTAAATATGGTTTTAGAAGACATCAGGAGTATGTCATATTGGGACCAGCAGATGACATAATGGTTATGTCACAAGACTCCTACATTGTCAACCACAGTTCAAGTCCTGGACTCTGTGGTTTAAAACTCAGCTGAGTGCTTGTGCATGCATGACCAAAATATGGAGAAGAGAATGGAGGAGAAGGGATTGCGGCGTGGCCATCCCTCTGGGGAGTGATTTCTTGTTTTCTGTCTCTCCAGTGAATGCATGCACCCTATAGCAAAAATCTCTCCCCAAAAAAGAGATCAGAAATATATCATATTAAAATATAACCAACCATTGCTCATTTTTTCACTAGGTTGGAGTTCTCTTTACATATTTAAAAATAATTATGGCATTGTGAGTTGCCTTTTATTCATATTTTAAATTAAGGGATACATGGACTGAGTAGATGTAGACTATCGATTTACTTTCTTTGCTTCAATGTAATTGTAAGAGAATGAAATTGTAAGAGAATGAAAGAGTGGAAATACGAATTATTTTTGCCTTGTCCAACTTACTAAATGTTCATCTAGGCTAGCTAACTATTCTACTTTTAAGGAAGGAAGGGGGGTGTGATTTCTCGCTTCTGCCTCTCTGTTTCTCAAGTACACGCACCCTAGAGCTGTGGGAGGCTGCGCACCAGCGAGTCTGCCGAGGTTTCTCAGAGAGCAAACAATTACCATGATTGGTTCCCTTCCAAAAACCTGACCTTCGAAACCTTGCTCTGATTGGCCACTAGAATCCCTCAAATTTGCATATCCGGCACCTCATGATTGGTCCAAAAGCAACCAATCATAACCCACCATTAACAACCAATCACGGCCCACCGTTTACAACCCACCAGAGTGTATATAACCACAATGCCTGGCCCACAGTAGCCAGACGACCGAGACG